TATGATTTCCATTTTATTCGTTATCAGATAACGCACCAAATTGATCATTTCTATTGGTGATCGATAACTGTGTTAGTTTCTATGCTCGTAGCTGATAGATTATGCTTTGGGAACGGTGATTGTTCGATTGAAATGATTGCTGATTGGTTCATGTAGACCGTTGTATCGTTTCAGTTCAGAGAAACTCAAGGATGGTCCATAGTAAACGAGATAATAATGCACATACAGCAAGAAAACAGGCCAATAATCATGCGGAATCGAGCTCGCAAGTATCCGCACGAAAGAATCAATTGGAACTTGTTGTGCTGAAAATTGACGAGAGCGGAAATGGTGACAAGGGAGATGATGAAGCACAAACATCGGATGTCGATTTTCAGAACGATCTGTTTGAGGTTAATCATTTTTGTTTGACTTGAGATCACGTTTTTAAACGACTCGATTGCTTGAGTTTATGAAGCCAGTTGATTCAGTATTGTTTAAGGCCTTAATAACAGTTCAGTTATTCGTTCTTCAATTGAACTTTAACTAAAACTTTTCCACATTNTTCAGTATTGTTTAAGGCCTTAATAACAGTTCAGTTATTCGTTCTTCAATTGAACTTTAACTAAAACTTTTCCACATTAGCGGTTAAGATATGAGAAATATATATCGAGAGGAGTAATTTATTGTTAGGTAAAAACGCATAGCAGTTGTGCGAAAGTGACTGAGGTATGCATTGAAAGTCATTGGTGTGCGCTTCGAAGATGTATTTTTTGTTGTTTGAGTAGATTTGGATTTTAAGTTGTGTATGAATCGAATAGAAATATTATGCGGTATAATCAGTTTAGCGTTTACGTGCATCTCGTCTTCATCCAAAGTGGATAACGGCTGAAGAATGTCTGGAAAAGACGTGTAAAGGCAACGAAGTTTTCATATTACTTCATTTCAATGGTCCTGTTTTTGAGCATCTTCAATCATTGAAATGCAGGTAGAATATTTTCAGTTGCGTTTGAAATTCATTGAGGTCGGTATTCGCTTCGTTTCGTGTGATAGTTCAACGTTACTGTTCATTCGTTTAAACCAGTCGAAGCTGTGATGTTAATATAATTTTATATAATGTGATATAAATTGATATAATTGTTAATTGAATATAATAATTATAGTAATTAATATTGATATAATGATATAATGAAAAAATGAATGCTATGGGGAAAAATAATATAGAATAAAATAATGCTATGACTAATATGATATTAATATTAATGTAATGCTATGATATAATTGATTATTTATTATTTGGTATAGTTATATTAATATGATATAGGTTGTTTTTTATTAATTGAATAAGTCGCCTTCAATTGAGTTTTTCAGCGAAAAGAATCTGTTGAATTAGACTAAATTGTAAATTGGTTCAAGGATATATGGGTCGTTAGCAGCGTTGACGTGTTTGTTGAATGAGCAACGATTACCGAAGTGGACACATCCAATCTTATCAATGACTCTTCGCGACTGTGTTATTTGTTTCACGGGTATCGACAAAGAGATTCGAGTAATTTTTTATTAATTTCGTCAAATGATGCATTAGACTCATCCAGTTCATTCGCTTTTAATTAAGCAATCGGAATGGTATTGTTGAATTGAGATTCTATGCCGAATAATCGAAGAATTTATTCAACAAAAAGGTGCTCGTAGAGTTATGTTGATTTTAGTCGATGATTACTCAAGTGATATTCATCGAAAAATTACGATTTATTGTAAGCATGTATCTTCATGGTGCTATTCTTAATGGATTTTTTTGTTTTATACTCATATGCTTCTCATATGGCTGTTTTCTTAAACGTTTTGCTGACTTTTCATGTAGTGATAAACTCAGAGATAACGATCAAGTTGTATTGGTGTCCTGATAAGTGTCCATTTTCTAGAAAGAAAAAACGAAAATAATATTGCAAATGAATGGCACGGTCACGAAAGATCTCAAC